TGAATTTCATATATAGAAAACTATGCAAAACAAAGTCCAAGCATACAAAATTATACAGTGCAAACAAAAACTAAACAATCATGACTACACAAAACATCGAAAACCTCAATCCAAGAGAAAGCAGAGAATGTTAAAAACAAACAACTTTAAAAAGGATCAAAAGGGAGATAAGATGATAGGACATTACATTTTAACCTAACTGCATCTGCACCAATCTGCATTTCAATACTCTGTATGATAGGAACGCTGTTCAGATCCCTCTACTATGGTCAGTGGGGATTCACTACAGAATTAATCTGTGGGGGGACCCTGCAAATGGATTTTGGCCTTTCAGTGTCATCTATAGCTATTTGCAAACCAGGTGTTCACAATTTAAGCTTGGATACTATCTCTTCCTTTGGATTTGGGTTTTATTATTTACAATCCTTGGATCACTTTACTCATGTGGACTGACGCCTTACTTAGATGGCACTTGTTAAGAAAAGCCTTGAAGACAGACCGCAGACACTATTCTGACAGTCAGGCGCCATCTGGTTTCTTCACCACACTTTGCTGTCACACTCATGTTTTCAGTGCTCTCTGCATGAGGGCAAGTATCAAGCAGAGCCTTCTCATCAGAACTAATTGTTCTTAGATTAGGGCTAGAATTAGTGTGAGCCTGAAGTCCATTCCTAGATCTATGATTTGTTTATATATCTGTTTCATTTTAGAGACATCATTAACATTTTTGTGACAGAGAACATTATAAATTATCCTTTTGGGGGTATAAGGTAATTCTATTGATAGTGTCCTTGATTTAGTCTTTGGTATAGGATTTAAAACACTTGGGAAAAGGAAATACAGTTAACCCTCGTTTATCGCGGTTAATCGGTTCTAGACCCTACCGTGATAAATGAAATTCCGCGAAGTAGGATTCCTTATTTGTAAATCAAATATTTTCGTAGTTAGAGCATAGAGGACATGAAAAAACACCCTTTAGTCACCATTACACTCGTATTACCCAATTTATTAAACGAAAAAGGGAAAATACAGTAAAACATTTTGGACGTTACAATTATCATTTATTATTTATTATATTATTTATGGCATCTAGTTTACAGTATTATGACTTGTCACGATGCGCTTTGCTTCCTTGTTGAAAGTGAAAGTAGCCGTAGCACGGATGTTTTTTTCCTCTTTACGGATGGAGCGAACGGAAGACTCATTCAAGTCGAAATGGCGTGCAACCTCCACGATTTTCTTGCCATCTTTGATCATATCCAAAAGTTTTACCTTTTCCTGGATGGTGAGCATCTTCCTCTGGCGCTTATTTTTATTGTCAGAAGGCTTAGAAGAAGCAGCTCGTTTAGGAGCCATCATAGGGCTTAGATAACATTTCTTAAAAATCGCAAACAATTACAGTACACTGTACAAAAGCAAAAATGCATCTGATATGTAGCTCCGATACGTAGCGATGTAGACAGAAGCGTGTACAGTATGAGCCAATCAGTGGCAGTAATGACAGAGCATGCGCTGTTACGCAAAAACCGCGATAGAGTGAAGCCGCGGAAGTCGAAGTGCGAAGTGGCGAGGGTTCACTGTAATTGAAGTATAGGCCGGCTTCAGAGTGCAATACATGAATTGTTGACTTTTGTGAAATAAAATCTTAAGGGAATATACCCTATTTACATAAACAATAGGGGTTGGTGGTAGGGCCCTCCCTCCCCTTTTAATACAGATCAAAGTATTAAATTAGGTGAGTGGTGTTCAGCTAGGGGTGAGTCAGCTTCTTGGGACATTCTGCCATGTCTGGAGACAGTTTTGGTTGCCACTTCTTGGAGAGAGGCTCTGCTGACGGCATCTGGCGAGTGGAGATCAGGGATGTTGCAGAGCTCCTTACAGTGTACAGGCCAAGCCCCACCACACAGAATGACACTCCACTTGACAGTGTTCAACAAACAAAGATGTCACTTTGAACACTAAGGTGTGTCTGACCCAAGCCATGGTGTTTTCAGCCACCTCATATACATATAAAAGTTGGACAATGAATATGGAAGGTTGAAGAAGAATGGATGCCTTTGGATTTTGATGTTGGTGAAGAATATTGCATATACCATGGGCTACCAGGAACAACTGGCAACAAATCTGTTTGGGAGAACTATAGCCATCATGCTCCTTGGAAGTGAGCGTGTTAAGACTTTTTCTTACCTTGGCATGCTATCAGGAAGGATCAGTCAGTTGAGAAAGGCAACATGCTTGGTAAAGGTCAGAGGAAAGAGGAAGCCAGGTATCAACAACTGAGCCCAAACTGTGCAGAATTCCAGTCTGAAGTGGAAGGAACAGGGCAGATGCCTGGCCATCCGTGACGGTGTAGGGATTTCCGTCCAACTTCCTTGAGATGGATTGACACAGTGGAGCAACAGTGGGCTCAAACAGCAGCGGTGTTTAGGCCGCAGCCTGACGGGGCAGTGCTTTGTACGTTTGTGCCTGAAATGGACTCGGTCAACACGTGTCAGTAGGGCCCAGTTTGAGCATCCCTGGATTAGGTCACAAACGACACTCCCTGAGATGTTGGAATTAGAAATTCACATTCCCCCTTATTTTTTCCCTTCTAGTGCAACCGTGTTCCCGATGAGAGGAGGTACTCCCTTCCCTTAAAGAGCATCTACATGCGGCAAATTGACCAGATGGTTGGCTTGATTTGATCTGCTGTCCTGCTTTAAGCCAGAGATAAACGACTGAGCCCGAACTGTGCTGAATTCCAGTTTGAAGTGGAAGGAACAGGACAGACGCCTGGCCATCCATGATGGTGTAGGGATCTCTGTCCAACTGCTGTTCTTGCTAACTCTAGTGTTTCTCTTCTGTTCAATAAAATGCCCCTGTTTTTCTGAAGGGTATCATTGGCAATGAGAAAGCATATGCAGATTGGCTTTTATGAAATGCTAGTGATCTTAAATATCATGATGGGGCATCTTTGGATTGTTTTTCACAGCTTCCTACTTTACAATCCGAGTCTCTTCCTTTGCCAGCACTCCCCACATCTGTGACATTGCTACCTCTCTGTCAGGGGACTGTGAATGGGCATTTTCTGGAAAAGGACCGAGGTTTCCTTGCCATCCCTTTCTATTGCTGAAGATGTCATCCTGTCTTTCATTGGATAACTGGGCTCTCCCTCAGATAGCCAGCCAATTTTTATTGCCTGGGGGAAACCACCCAGTGGTCCATTTGCACCCCTTGTAACTTCAGTGTTACAGATTGTTTGCTTAGGAGTGATGGAGATGCTTGACCAGCATTCTCACAGGCACTCTCCTAAGTTATCACATCCTGTGTTAAGGAAGTCAACTGGCAGATCATCTGGACAGTATTTTGCTTTTCTTTTGAACATGAACTTACCTGGGGAGTTTACATAGTCCCAGAACCAGGTGCCTTTTGGGGAGAGAACAATACCTAAGATAGTCTGAGCCTCCATCTTGCTTATATTTGCTAAGCAAGGACTCACGGTTCTGATCATGTTTGAGTTAGACATTTGTTTTGGCTTGTTTCAGACATCTAGTGCCAAAGAGTAGGCTAAGTCAGGGAGAGAGGAAATGGTCCCAGACCTCCTGGCGCCCTTGAGGTGTGCTCACTCTGACTCAGGCTTTAGGTCAGTGCCTTCCTCTGGTTTAGGTGTGGGTCCCAGGGTGCCAAAGTGATTGCTGTGGTTTCTGTCACCACAGTGGGACCACAGTAAAGATGGGTGGGACAGCGAGTTTGTCAGGAAGGTGCTTGCAAGGGCTCGGCCATTCTTCACTTTAACTGATATTTTAAGACTGGGTATGCTAAAATGCCTTCTTTCTTTTCCACTACTTCTTTAGCCAGAACAGAAGTCTCTCTGAATTTGCGCCGAGTGCCCATGCAGTGCAGAACAGCGCCCGAGCCCTAGTCTGGCTTCCGTGGAGCGTCAGAAGTGGAAATGCATTCCCTAAGAACACGCCAGCTGCACATGCCGTGTGTTTCACCTGCCCCTCTCTGCCCACTGCACAGGGTGCGTGTCAGTCAGAGAGCGAGTAATAAGCGCTGTCTTTAGCCCTTGCGTTTTCAGTCAGAAGGGAGACATTTGTATTCCTCCCTGGAAATTTAAGGGTTACTCTTTTTAAAAGTAGATGTATAATTCAGTTCTTTTGAGATTTTTAGCAAGGGGGTTTTCAATAACGTTTTACCCCTTAACTTTACTATGCAAATTATTTTAAAGTAAAAAAATAAAATGCTTTTGCTTTCCCATTTTCTGTTCATTTCAAAAGTGAACTTCTGTTTCTCAACAGAATCTTATCTACTGAATAGACATTTTCTGCTGTATATATATATTTTAAATGGTTTTCATGTCAAACCAGAATGTCCATGGTATCTTTTTCTCTGACCTAAGTAAAACAGGGCGATTGGTGGTGTGTCCAGGAGGGAGTGTGTCCATTGTCTCTCCGAGGCCTTTTGGCTGACCTGGCTTGCAGCTTCTGCAGCAGCTGTGATCAGTTAGGGCTCCAGGGCCCCTTCTCCTGTGGGCTCAGGCTTCGCTTGTATTAACTCCAAACGCTCTTGTCTTCCTGAAGCCACCCCTGTCCAGAACATGTGAATGAGGGGCATGTCCAGCTCCTCAGTTCCCACTCCAACGTTGGATGTTGCCTAGTCCGTGGTTCATGGGGTGAGACACTGTCTCAGACCAGTCCTGAAAAGTAGCCATGCTCAAAGTGTACCTGTTTTTATTGTTGTTTTTAGCCGGAATGCCAACAACTGTGATATCACATGCAAGGCTTTTTCTTTCGTGTGTTCTGAAGTATGGGAGGGGAAGGCTGAGGCGGGGCCTTTCAGGGACATCACATGCTTGGTCGGTTGCCCAAAACATGAATGGACCTCATTTTCTGGAATAGCTGTGAACTTGACCCATCTTTGTATTTCCATGTGTAGTATCCACTTTGTCAACACAGTGAAAGTGGTTTTGCAAACCTGCTGTAGAAAACTTCCTCCTAATTTGGCTTCCAGTCTTAATTCTTGTAATGCCAAGATCTAAGTCTTTACAACACACACTTGGCCACTTGATGCAGTGGGAGTGCAGGTGTCAAAGATAGTGATTGCTAGTGCTCTGGTTTGCTGTGGTGGCCTTTATGGGAAACTGCTTCTGGAAAACCAGTTTGCTACAGTTCGTGGCCAAAACTTGCTTTGCACACCAGAACCCCCAGGTGCTGAGGATGCCCTGGGCATTGTCCTGGATCAGGGAATGTGCACACGTCACTTGAATAGTTTTCTATGTATTTAACAACATCCACCAGGGTAGTGGTAATGTCTTCACAGGTGCATGTCAGAGGGGAGAGTATAGTTACCAGGCTTGGCAGGTGCAGCCAAGCACTCTGGACGAAGGCCTTCTACCCACTTCCCCCGCCTCCAAGAACAAGATCCATCTTAGCTGTTCTCTTGGGCTCAGTTTACCAAATGATTGCAAATTGAAATTCTTTACATTGTTCCCTGCCTAGTATGATAACATGGATTGTTCAGTTGCACCGCTCCTCCACTTTTTGCTCAACTTCTTTGCATCATCTTGATGGGCAGAATCTTCTCTCAGGAGGAACAATCGTTGATGTCATCAGGTTGAGTAGCCCTAGTGTTTGCAGGTGCCTGCCTGTTAGAGGGATTCCTTGAGCAGACCTGAAATGGATGCATGAGAGATCTGCCTGGACCTAGTCTACCTTATCATCAATGCTTCGGCTCCTGGAGCTGACTCAATGAGTGTTGAACACAGCGGGCATGGCTCTAACATAGCGGGTGCGTTTCCGCATTCCTTATGACTCGGGGAGCGCTTCCTGCTGTCTTAATCGCACAGAAACTCTGTCAATGACTTGTGTGAGAGGTGCTCTGGTTCCTAGGCCTTTTCCATGATCTTTGTGGTTCCGGTTTTGGATTGGACTCTGCGGAGCAGAGATGTAGTCTTCATTGATGCTCACTGCAGCAGGTCCTTAGTTCATGCCGGAGGCTCTGTGTGGCTCTCCTCCAGCTCTTTGGGAAACTCATGGGAACTCTGGTTGCTGAGAGTCGTGTATCATTGGGGTTTGAGTGGTCCTGGGGGTTTTGGTATTCATGAAGCTGTGGGCTTGCTTATGGAAGGAGTGCTTCTACATTGAGTCAATAGGCTTGACATCAGATGTTTCTGTTCTCTTGTTGGAGGGCTCTGGAAGTCTCAGGATATTTTTCAGATTTCATGATGGTTTGAAGGTAGAGCTGGATGGTGCCATAGCCTCAGGGTGAAGCAGAGACTTCACAACAAAAAGAATCTTGCTGTTTCCTTTTCCAGTCTCAGACATCCAGTTTCCACAACGTGCCTCTTCCCTGCAGGGTGGAACCCCTGGGAAACATTAAGTGGGGGAGGTGAGTGATGGCTGGCTGTATGTCCCCAGATCTTGCAGACTCAGGGTGTCGCTCCCCTTTAAATGTGGCTGTGAGTCTAGTGAAGGTGTGAAGTACCTGTGGAACTAACTTCTGGCTTGTCACCCCTGCCCTCTCTCGGAGGACTGTGGGGGGAGTAGCTTTTTAAAAAGGCTATGTTGGTTTGGTTTGAAACACTAAACTACAAGCTGACCTATTTATTATGTACAAGAAAGGTAAGTCTGTTTTATGAAGACAGACTAGAACTGGACACTCTGGGATGTGATGTTTCAGTGATGTGCAATATGCTTTGCAGCTACAGATGATATTTTATGTTTAATCTGTAAATAAGAAATGTATTTAAATTAAAGGGGAGCCTTTTTTTGGGTAAAAGGACCAAATGTTCTTTTATAAATGTATTAAGGAGGACTACCTTGCTCTTTGAAATTTATTAGGGTTTTTATGAGTAATTTGTATTAAAAGATTCTTTTTTCCAAGTTGTCCCTTATTTTCTTCTTTAAATACCTGTATATTCCCATGAAATGCAGGAAAAATAAGCTGGGGGCGGAGGGCAGGGAAGGGACCGGACAGGAATTATCTAAAGGAAAATGCAGAACATGATTGGTAAGAACTTTATTTTTATTCATTTTTTACAACTTCATACACTATCTTCCTGTGGAATTATTTACCTGTCCCTCACATGTGACTGAAGCCTGTCCTGTGTTCTTGTTTTGTCCCTGTTCCCCATCCTTTTCCCAAGCACTGACTCGTCACCAACTCCTGTTAGCATTCGTCTGTCTGGAACCATTTTTCAGTGTTGTCTTGGGCAAGGCAGTTCTCCACATCCCTCGTGAGTGAACATGAGTAATGACCCCCTGTAGTGGCTGTGAGGTGCACAGCGATAGAGAGGCTCACAGGCGCCTGTCCTCCACCCCTGCGGCCACCCAAGTGTGAGGGGACCTCCTTCTGCTCCTGTCACATCTGGTGTTTGGCTTTTCTGAGGGGTAAAGGATAACTAATATACGATCTGATGTACTGGGGCAGGGGTGGGGCAGGGGTGGAGTTCCTGCCTTTCTTGTGGGAGCCTGTTTTGATTCCTGGCACCAAGCACCTCCCATGTTCCAGCGGAGGCGGCCAAGTTGCCATGTCATTGAAAAGGTTTCACTGGCGGCACTTCCAGACTAAGACAGCCTAGTGACCTACCTCTAAAAACCAGCCAATGGAAATCCCTTGGGTCATAAACTTGATCCCTTTGTGTATGGGATTGCCATACAGTGACTCATCAATATCACATGGCTGCAGGAAGGACTCTGCAGTTTGAGAGCTGGGCTAAGAAAGCATTTCCTTGGTCAACCTTAGATAGGAATGTACACGTTGGCTGATTCAGATTTTTCACCTCTGCTTGTCTGTACATGACTGTGAAGCACCTTGATTATTTATTTTGGGGCTACAAATAAATTTTAGGGAGTAGGCCAGTTCACTGGTAGAGAATCTTAGAATAATGAAGATTTCCTTTCAACCAAGCTGCACCAGATACATACTAGGCTTTGTGTGTGTTTCTTAAAATAGTCAAGTAGGATTTGATACCTAGAATGGGTTCTAGGGTTTTTCAACAGGGAGCCTGCAGTAGGGATAAGACAGGCCACAGGGAGGTCTGGGTTGGGCCCTGACTTTGTCCTTCCTGGATGTGTGACTCGGGTCAAGGCTCTCACCTGCACATCCTTTCATGTCATCTAGGCATCATCCCACCTTGTCTCCAGAGTTCTTGTGAGGGCGAAGTGAAGTACTAGCCGCATTTTGACACTAGGTTAGGTGCCAGCTGCTTTTCATTCTTTGATATGTTAGTTGCCAAGGAGTTGGCCCCTGACTCATGGTGACTGGATAGACAATGGAAACAAAACTCTGGTTCTTTGTCATGCATTGGGTTTGCATTGGCTGATTTATGAAAGTAGATTGCTAGACTTTCTATTGTAGTCTGGAGCTCTGCTGAAATTTGTTTAGCATCATAGCAACACAAGTGTCCTTTGGCACATGTGCATGGCTGTGCATGAATTGCATTGGCTGGGAATTGAACCTGGGCCTCTTGCATGCAAGGTAGAATTCTATCACTGAGGCAAACCCTCACTGCCCTCACTTTCCTTACATGCAACCTCTTAAAGTTTAAATGGGGGTGTTTGCTATTCCCTGTCTCAGAAACACAGAATGGGAGGTTCAGGGTGGTTGGGTGTGATGCCCCTGCCCTACTATCACCCGGGCTAGTGTAAGTAACTGCATCCTGGCACAGTCCTCCCATCACAGGCATGTGGAATATCTTCACCCTGCACCTCATTTGTGTGTGGTTTGAAGGCTTCTATCATATTCCAGCCCGAGAGGCAGATTCTCTTATTCCATTTCTACTGATGAGAAATTGAAACAGAGGTAAGCTGTGACAGATGCTCAGACCAAGGTTTGAACCAATGGCCTAAAGCTCATTTTTAGGTCCTAGAGTGAGTGGTTTGGCTCTCATCCCAGAATGGGGAGTAGAGAGTCACTGCTGTAGGGACTACCCTGACCATGCCCAGTGAGATGTTGCTCAACCCTTGGTCTGAGTCCCCAGTGGCCTCTTCCCAAGGGTCGAAAAGAATACAATGAAAATTATGAAACACTGCTGGTTGAGATGAAATAAGATTTAAATAGATGAAAAAATATTCCATGTTACATTCATGGTTTGGAAGACAGACTGAGAAGTAGCAGTCATGATCACTAAGGTTCTTGGCAGTTGTAAAATTCAGCAATTTTACATATAATAATACATACACAATAAGTATCAGACTTCTGGCAAGATGGCAACTGAGTAACACATACCAGAGGGACTCCGCAGAAATCAGTGGAGGAGAGATACTAAGAGGGAAATTCCACACTGCCGGGTTACAGGAGGAGCATCATAAAGATAAGTAGGCACAGATACACTAGGTTTTCTGGAGCTGGGGGCTTTTGGGTTACCACAGTGGAGGTCGCCTAGCATCTAACCTTAGCCCTGCCACTGTCTTAGCTAGAGCCAGGATCATTTGCAGCTGGCCCAAGTGCTTTATTACAACACAACCACAGCTTGCCGCTGCTTCATGGCAGGGTTTAAACCCCTCCAGCTCCACGGTCAGGGATCAGTATTTAGCTATATTACTTTTTGTTTCTCTTCTCTCCCATCACAATCTCAGCTGCCTCAGGGCATGGTTTAAACTCCCTTATTCTCACTGTCAGGGATTGGGTTCAGCTATATTATTATTTTTGTTTCCCTGTCTTTCCCTCCACAGTCTTAGCGGGCTATTTTTTCCCTCTTCCCTATACTCTCACACGCCACTGTGGACCTCCACTCCCCTGAGCCTAGGGCATTTATGCCTGACCTCCACTCCGCTGGGAGAGGTCCACCCTATGCAGCATAACTCAAGTCTGGGGAAAACCCACCCACCTTCAATGGATATCCTGCCCACCTTCTGGGGGAAATCCTGCCCACCCCCTGCTGCTCTTAACACGTGACTGGGGAAATCCTTCCCACCTTCCTGCCTTCTGTGGCATTCCCATTGCAGCAGGCACCCCCACAAACCCTCTGTGGCACCCCAAACTGCTGTGGGCCACAACATCATGGCTTCTTGTGAGATCACCCAGTACAATACCATCCTCACAGGTCCACAAACACCCAACCAGCGTCCCCTGAGAGGACAATTGAACGTGCCCTCCAAATAACAAAATACTGGTTGACTGGGGAAAGAGTGAAGCCACAGGAGGATAAAGCAGTAGGCCAATTTCATAGTGCAATTATATGCAGGCAGTTCGAAGAAGCATTCCTACGAGTCTCCCAGAGAGAGCCCAGTGCTCTTCGACTCTCTGGAAAATGGCACCTGGCTCCTCTGAAACTGCAATGCAAACAGAAACCAGCCCCAACGACATCAATGAAAAAAACAAGAAAAACAAAAGGTGATGTCAGAAGATGTCCTAAATCTAATGACGTGGATAGAAGAAGCAGACATTGATATGCCACAGAAAGAAAATTTCAGAATGCTGCTTGGAGTCATACGGGATATGAAAAAAACTACAAAAAATGAATGAAATGATAGAGGAGATAAAGACCATACACCAAAGGTAAATACAAGAGCTTAGGGACAAGATAACAAAAACCAAGAGTAGATTCACAGACTTCGAGACTTCGTCAACTGACTGGAGGAGGCACCAGTAACCTAGAGGACGGTCAAGCATACTAACAAACGTAAACAAAAATCTAATAAAATTATCAGAAAAGCTGAAGAAAACCTAGGAGCTATGTCTGATGCTACAAAGAGGAACAACTTCAGAATAATTGGATGACCGGAGGAAGACAAAACAAAGAAGTCATCTGCAAAAATACTGAGAAAATTCTTGGAGGAAAACATCCCCAACTTAATGAATAAAAACCAGGCAGCCATTCAGGAGGTTGAAAGAACACCAGGTAGGCTGAATCCCAAGAAGAAGTCACCAAAGCACCCAATAGTTAAACTATACAACTTTGAGGAAAGGAGAAAATCATGAGAGCAGCTAGGGAAAAACAATCACATACAAAGTTTGCCAAATAAGAATATGCTCAGACCTATCAGCAGAAGAGGAAAGAGTAGAGTAACATATTCCAAAAATTGAAGGAAAATAACGCAAACCCAAGAATATCCAGCCAAATTATCAATCAAGATAGATGGAGAAGTAAGAGTCTTCCCAGACTAGGAAACTCAGAATATGTTACAAGAAACCCAGCCGTACAAAAGATCCTTGCTGACCCAGTATGGGGAAAACAGCACTCATCACATAGAAACCAACACATAGAAAAACTGCACGCAAGGGGCAAGAAAGAGAAAACAACCCCCAATATAGCATTGGCTTAAGGGTGGAAAGAAGTCAAGAAAGAACCACACACATGCACATGCACAACACACTGAAAAGAAAGGGAGGTAGGAAAACACCCAACACAAAAGGTATAAGATGACTTCACAAAGTCCACAGATGGATGTAATAACCCTGAATATCAATGGACTGGACCCAGGCAATAAAGACAGACTAGCATACTGGCTTATAAAACACAACCTATTGATCTGTTGCCTACAGGAGACACATCTGAAGACTACAGACAAAGATAGGCTGAGAATCAAAGGCTGGAGAAAAACATACCAAAAAAAAAAGCAATAAAAAACAACAACCAGGGGTTGCAATCCTAATCTCGGATAAAACTGACCTCAGTATGCATACCTTAAAAAGAGATAAGAAGGGACAGTATATTATGCTCAAGGGAACTGTAGACAAAGAACCATTAAGCATTTTAAACATATATTCCCCAAATGAGAGATCTGCTGATACATCCAAACATTCCAAAAGATGAAAAAAGAAATCATAGCCTCAACAATTACAGTAGGTGCCTTCAATACACTGCTCTCTGAGAAAGATAGATCACAGGGAAAGAAACAACAAGGATGCTAGAGGTTTAAACACAATTAGACAATTT